CTCCTCAGCCCTCTGGGAACATAATCCTGGAACCCTGTGTAAGCAAAATGGGCCCCAAATTACATTCTCACCAGAGAAATTAATTGGATAATTTATCAAGTGCGAAAATAACATCAGAATATTCTGCACAATTGATCGAGGACTTTCACATAAATCCATTATAAAAAGGATCCCTTCAGGCAAAATAAATAAGATTAAAATTCAGCATAATAGATTTCCAAGTTGAAGACGAGCTGAAAGCGAGGACTACAATTCTAGCTATAGCTCACATATCACACGTTTCCTCGAAGAGTTTAAGATGACTCGGTAGAGGCTAATTATCTTAGATTTTTAAAGAGAAACCAAACTTGAGGAAGTCTCATTAAAATTAACACTTTCTAAGTAAGAAAGCAAATGTTCCAAAATGTTACTCGTAGAGGCTAGGTGGTGGTTGTTCACTGTACAATTCATTCAACATTTTTGAAATGTTTCAAATGTTTGAAAATATCATGACGCGCAGAGGTAAAAAGCAAACAAACCAAAAAAACAACAAAAAAAAAAAACCAAAAAAAACCCGTCTATACACTTCCACCCAAAACTTACATGCGACAAATAAACTACCAGAAATCGGCCGGCGTGAACCAGAATTTTCGTTAGCTGCTCCTTACTAAAAGTCTGTGAGCATGTACTTTGTGCCAGGCGCTGTGCAGTGGCACTCACCACTTCGGTGGTGAACGGGACACTGTCCCTGTCCCTCAATGTTTACACTCTCCTGAGGACTGGAGTAAGTCATTACAGGCTTCTAAGACCAGCGGCATTTCTCTCTTGTAACACAGGAATCCGTACTTTCTCTTCCCCGTTGGCACTTTAGCTTGGACCCTGAAGTCCATGGGCAGGAGCACTGGGCGGATGCCATCGGTCAGCAGGGGCAGGGAATCTCCAGCAGGTGATCCCTTCCAGAAACCCCGCTGGGCAGCAGCAACGCAGTGTGCTTTGCTGACCTTCCAGGAGGGCTGTTTCAGCGGCAAGCCTGGAGGGAGCAGAAGAGTCCGCCTGTCCTTCCCTCTTGTCCTCAAGGCGGGGCTAGTGTCCTGCTGAGAAAGCACTTTGAGAGAGAAAAAAAGAGCACCACATCTCCTCATTCTACAAAATGTATGCCCCATCTGGCATTATTTTTTAGTATCTTATAAATTTATAGTAACAATTTGGGGGGAGGAAAAAGCTTTAAAGCATTAAAGGCTTAGGTGACATTTAGAGAAACCAGTAGTCCTCTCCTTGCAAGTGCATGACTATAAGTGAAGGCTGGAATTGAGTATTACAATCTGTAGAGATCCATCTAACCAGGTTTCATCAAATCATCTTTCTGGATACTGGGAATTTGGAAGTGTTGACCCCATTCCATAGATGGCAATGGTATCAACTGTGAAGCTAACTATAAGCTTATCATGCGAATCTGGGAAATTTAGAGAAAAATGTATTCCAAAAGAAATATACAAATGACTATTGTCCATTTTTCATTTAAGGCACTGCACTGCTTAGGCGTTGTAGAGCTAGGCATCACAAAAAACACCTAATGGTGTTTTGTATAAAATGATGAGTGTAACTTAATCAAGGCAAGCCAAAAAAATGAGTTAACAAGTAAAGAACATTGCTTTAAAGTCTTAAGTTAGAAAAACTTCTCTACTAATTAAAAGTGTTTTCTGGTCACCAGAGAATTGACAGTTCCCTGGATAACTGTTCCTCTTTATGGAGAATGTAATCTAACTGGATGCATAATTCCTCACCTCTTCCTGCTTACCTCATCTAAGACTTACTGGTACAGAAACAGTAATGGAGAACATCATTTTACACCTGTCACAGAAACTGCCAGGTATCATCCAACATAGAGGTAACGTCTCTATGTTAATCCAGTGTTAGAGGAACAAAACTTGCCTTTCATTCTACTTCACTTTAAAAGTTGCAATAATCCCCACAATAAAAGTTGCATCCCACTGTAGCATAGCCAGAAACCGCCATTGCTGCATGGGCTGAGGGTCGGTAAAAACTACCAAACTACCAATCGACATCCTGACTTGTTTTCCTGCAGCAAAATATATGACTTGCAACAAGTTTCATCCAACACTGGGTTGGACACCTCTGGGAAAAGAGGAAACAATTTCGCTAAGTTCAAGATGACGTCAGAAGATAAACATGTTTAAAAGGTCAATAAAATAAAAATACATGGGGCAAACACTGGGTGAGCCAATTGAGTGAAACCAGCACGTGTGAGTGGGGCGAATTTGAAAACCCACGCTTGATTGTGAGTTGAAATCTTAACAAAAGTTTCTATTTAGAATGACAGTTTGACCATTACTTTTATTCTATATTCACAATGAATGGCCAGTATAAAGTAAGTGCCTGGTTTCTTACAAAATGTTTGCGGGTTAAAAAAAAAAAAAATTGCTTATTTGAATTAAGAGGAGACCCAGCTGATGGACACATTTGAAGTAGAATATTATGTCAGCAAAAAATAAGGTTAGGCCATTTCCTACTGGCAAAACTCTTTAGTAAAGTATTGTCAACACTCTGCTGGTTACAACTTAATTTCTTAAAACAGAATTTTATGGCTGGAGTGGACCTTAGAAACATCTAAACCAACTCATTTTACAGATGAGAAACCTGAAGCTAGAAGTTGAAATCAAGCAAAAACTGTTTTTGTTTGGATTAAGTATAGTAGGAAAAAAAATAACATAACCAAAGCAGGAAATGACTGGCCTCAGAACCTAAAGCACAGCCATGCTTTTAATAGAAATTTGACCAGGAAGCTTTTAAATAGCATTTCCTTTTTTGGTAGGGTTGAATGTTTTGTGGCAACCCCTTTTTTTCCCCCTCTGATAAAAGTTACGTTTGCAGTAGAAAATGTAAAACATATGAAGAAAGCACAAAGAAAAAAATAAGTCCTCAAAAATAGTTCAGTATATTTCCTTCAGGCTTTTTCTATGTAATGAAAGTAACTACCATTTACTTCTTAAATGGAACTCAACAGTTATTCACTGAAAAAGTCACAAGAAGGGCAGTGGTGCAGGGTTTCGAACCCAGATGGTGGTGCCCCAGCGCTTCCTGGGAGCTAGATGGAAGGCACGGCGGCTGAGGGACACAGACTTCAAGGAAGCAAACTGGGAACCGGTGATGAGCAGGTGGTACGGTTGGTAACTCTGGGGAACAGGATCCCTGCATGACCTTTGTTTTTACTCTAGAACGTGAACCCATCAGAGAGGAAGTCTAAATGTTGGGGGAGAGGGGCAGACAGACAGGTAAAGGGAAAGGCCACAATGACACTTGCTGGGTCAGCCTGGAACTGAAACCATTCTGCTCCACAGACAAGGTCTCTTGGCTTTCTCTTGAAATTAAGGCTGATCTTGAATGCTCAGATTTGGCTTCTCTAAACAAAAGTACCATCTCTCATGACCAGACATTATTAAACAATCTTGTGTAAACAGCAGAGTGTGTGGGTCCTCTCAGAGTCTTCTAAGAGCCTAGACTAGCTGTGGGACTCCCTGAGAATGAGATTTCACCATATTTATATCTATAGGCCTTAACCAACAAATGGCCTAAAAACCATCTCTATTAGGAACACTTAGCCACTTTGATACATTCCACATGACTCTCCTCAGGTATATACTGCTGGACTAAAGAACCTATTCATGCTAAGTCCTGATAGAACCACCAGGATTTCCCACCCTGGTTTGATGACCTCTCAGGTATCTCCAAGGATCTCCCAGATATTAAGAAATTCTGCCTTTAGGAAATCAGTTTTGTTCCATTTAACTAACTCCCAGAGAGTGTTCAAAAGAGCTGAAAATTTCTGGCTCAGATTGCTTCTGCCACCACCAGGAGATGCCATGTTGGTTGACTAGTTGATATATTTAAAAAAAAAATTTTTTTTAATGTTTATATTTGAGAGAGACAGAGAGACAGAGTGCAAGTGGGGGAGGGGCTGAGAGAGACAGGGAGACACAGAATCTGAAACAGGCTCCAGGCTCTGAGCCGTCAGCACAGAGCCCAACGCGGGGCCCGAACCCACGAACTGTGAGATCATGACCTGGGCTGAAGTCGGACGCCCAACTGACTGAGCCACCCAGGCACCCCATGACGTATTTTGTATGTTGGTGATTATATATGTGCATCTCCTTGTCGTATAAGCCGTGAGTAGCAGAGAACATACGTAAGGCTGTGGAATTCAATCTGCAGTGAACAGGCAAAAAGGGATTTATGGCATAACACTGGGCAGTTGGTATCCATATGGTCCTCAGCATTCGAAACTCTGGAGAAGATGCTACATGTAGCCTCAAGGAAATATGCAAGCCACGTAGAATGAAACAAATAAGAATTATTCAACAGACATGTCTGCACTAAATAGGTAAGGTTATACCTGGGGTTTAAACTAGTTTCTGAATATCCTTAGTCGCACCCTGGGGGTGGGGGGAAACGGAGTAAATGAGAACTTAAACTTTCCAAGGATTAAGGTTCAAATCCTCTGAAATCTGAAGGTCAAATAAATGAGAACTCAGCTCCAGAGTAATAATTCTCGCTGGCACCAGCACGAGGCAGTAGTGATTCTCAAATTTAATATATTACATATAATATAAAAATAAGCTGAAGTTTTAAGGAACGTCCATTATTATTAAAAGGTTTGAGCTTTACTACTCCAACCCTGGGCTTGACAATAAAACACACTGGAGCAAAAAAAGCCCATGAAGTGCAACAAAGAGGTATACTGACTGACAGACAGACAGACAGCCGCTGCAATATGCCACAGGCACTCCAGTCTTTGTGAAACTGTGGAACATGTAGGTTCCAAGGGAAAAACCGCTTCCGAGATCTGTAACGGGAAGAAGCGGTAAGTGACCTCAGTAATAGCATTCGCTGCTGGGTACAATGTCTTTCCACTTCTTTTTTTATTTGCGTATTATTGAGAACAAGGCAAAGAAAGACGGCTTTCTCCAGACGGCTTTTTTTTTTTTTAAACACATGCAGGGATGCTACATCCCTGAATCAGTACTTCGTGGCTGAAAACCCTCCCTCCGGAGACTACCCATGTCAAAGCGGGTAGAGACCTCACAGCGCACTAATAAAGTATCATCCTTAATGAAGGTTCTCTGTCTCAGGGCTTCCAGATGCATAAAAGTCACATAGCCAAAACCTTTTGGGTTCCGTGGGATTGTGGGTCTCTGGAAGGCAAGCAGCTCTGGTTTGGCATCCATGATCTCTTCATGGTTTTGCCTTATAGGTGCCTCAGACTGATCAAGAATTGTAAGGCGGATTGTACCCTGGAAGGGCCAAGGGAGGTGGCTGTCATACTCTCCTTGCATTGTGTGCACAAAGAGGGATATGTAATTAGCACAGCGCTGAGCCGACGGTAACTGAAGGTGCAGGCGCATGCACAGTTTGTACCCGGGTTTGCCTGTGTAGAATCCAGGGCTATGAATGACAACAGGTTTCTCCTCTTCTTGAGATTTCAAATGCATCCCAAAGTTGCCAATCTTCCAGATGTAAATCCCATTGCACTGCTGTGCTTCTATTTCAACAACTTTGTCCTCAAGGGTTCGAATCGTTTGTTTGAGCTCACTTACGTACATGCTCTGAGTTTCCATTTTAGCAATTAGCTCTCGGATTTGATGGTCTTGTCTTACAAGGCGACCCTCTAACTGCTGAATGGTTTCTTGGAAATTCTGGACCTCTGGGTGACACCCAGTGGAAACCCGGGACGCAGAGGAAGAATCGTATGGAGGCATATCACACTGAGGTACAGGAGGTAACGCAAGGCTTAAACTCTGAACAGCCTGGGCCAACATTCTCATGTGCGACTGGGTATTCTCTTGCAGGTGGCGTGCCAAGTGATTCCTCTGCATCTAAAAATCAAGCACAAGCCTTAGGTTGGGACTAGATACTGTGAGGACTAGGAAGGGACCTAGCCAAGCCAAATAAAAGGTTTTTAAGTAATGTCATCACTTCCCTCAGTCCCCTACCATCTTCTTCAACAAATTCTTGACCTAGTGAGACGATCTTATCTTTTCATCCACTGGAAAAGTGAGGCTATGTGCCAAATACTCTCACCTTTCACTCAGATAAACCTCCCTCCCACCTACGGAAGTATCAGGATCCATACCCATTCATCTGACTCAGAGACGACGCTCTGCTTGTCCAACATTAATGCTTCACCTGGGCTCTTGCTGGCACTTGCATTTTCAACACCTCAGAGGTTTTGCTCAGTCATCCCCCTTTTCCTTTATCTTCATTCTCTCCCCCTGACCCTTCCCTCCAATTAGTCTTTCCTACTGAAAAAAAGGCACACCTCTCTATTGATCTCACGTCTCTCTTTAGCTAATACCATTTTCTCCCTCTTTCTTTTACGACCAAGAGCAGTCCGTCTGCACTGTCCCCAAGTCATTTATTTTATAAATCTACTGCAAAGTATAATCTTCCCTGTCTCCACACTCTTCTTAGGTCGTCAAGAACATCCTGTTACATGAAAAAATACTTATGGTAACTTTTATTATAAAAGCAATTTGTGTATATTATAGAAAAACAAAATATAGACGACCAAGATGAAAGTTCCCTATTATCTCACCTAACTACCATTAACATTTTGATACATTTCCTTTAAGTCTTTTTCTCTACGCACACATACAGAATCCTCTCACGAAATGTAATCTCGGCATATATCATTTCCTCTTTTTCTTTTTTTTTAAGTTTATTTATTTTGAGAGAGGCAGAGAAGTGCGAGTGGGGAGGGGCAGAGAGACGGAGAGAGAGAATCCCAAGCAGGCTCCGTGCTGCTAGCACAGAGCCTGACGCTGGACTTGAACTCCCAAAACCACGAGATCGTGATCTGAAACCAAGAGTCAAGGCTTAACTGACTGAGCCACCCAGGCGGCCCTCTTCTTTTTATTCTTAAAATTATTAAATGCATGCTTATTGTAAAAAAGTCAGACAAAAAAAGTATAATGGAAAAGCAAAAACATAGTTGTACTCTCCAGAAAGAATGACTTACAATAATCATCGATCTCAAACATGACACAACTGATCATTAGTCTTGAAACTAATTTTTTGGAGAACATAACCATACCATCTCCTCCAATTTCTAATACGGTTTGTTCACGACTCCTATGACGGTCTGCTTCTCCTTCCTGTACACACTCACTCTATGATCTCAATCGCACCTTCCATCACCATCAGGCATCCCATCAATATCCTGAGTCCCAGTTTCTGTTTGGAGCTCCAAACTCATACAACAGTGCATGCCAGTCATCTCCCTGTCCACTGGTACTCTCAAATCCACTATGTAACAGAATTTTCTTCATCGGTATTCAATAATTAAAGAAGAAAAAACAAGCTTTACCTTTACATGGCAACCAAAAGTACTGAATGTGCATGGAATTGGGGCTGTAGGACAGTCCAGGTCGTAATGATTAGGCATCTGAAAATCAAAACGAAGGTTAAAAAATGGTTTTCCTTGCATATCACGTTCTAGTTTGATGAGATCACATTTGAAATAAAGATTTACATTTCATCTAAACAAAATCATGTATTGTCTATGGATGCTTTTGCATAATGCAGAGTTGAGTGGTTACAACAGAAAGCGTGTAGCCCACAAAGATTAGTATTTACTTCCAAAGTCACAGAGAAAGGAAATAGCAACATCTCATACCATCCCCCCAAATCGCTCAAAATTCCAGATAATGAGTTTGTTTCTTTGCTGGGAAACTAACGCCCTCTAGGGACACTTCAGAGAAAAAACATCTTCTGATGTCAACTACAACTGCAAACTCAAGGACTGCTGTGGTCCAGGCCATTTAATAGGGACCAGTTAACTGCATGGACCAGTTAATAGGGACCATGCACTGACACCACTGGCTGCACCCATTATTTCCCTCATGACTGTCTCATATGTCCTCTTACTTTTTTTTAACCAGGGCATGCCTTGATTACCATGGGAAGATGCAGATGTTAGAAGGTATTTTAAAGCACATTAATAACAGTTCTAAAGAAAGTCACAGCCTTTGACTTGGGGACTCTAAAACACATTCTTCAAGGTGACACCCATTATGCAAAACTATGTTCTTTGAAAGTGGTACCAAATTCCGTTTAGAAATTTAGTTTGGCTCTCCTCATAGATACTTCAATCAGAAATGACCTTTGAGACCACTTACTCCAATCCTTCATGTTGTATAGTCTAGGACAGCAGTCTACAAAGTGTTGTGTAATGAGACACATAATAAATATTTTCAGCGTGTGGGCCTTATGGTTTCTGTCCCAGGTACTCAACTCAACTCATCATTGTGGTACACTAGCCATATACGACACACAGACACATGGGCATGGCTGTGTTCCAATAAAATGTATTCACAAAAACGAGCAGTAGGCCAGACTGGCTGGTGTGTTGGTTTGCTGATTCCTGATCTAGAAGGTCAACTTTCTCATCAGAGATCAGTGGGCAGGTTAGTGGCACAGCCAAAATCAAAACCTAGGTTTTCTCTCTTAAGCTAGATTTTTTTTCCTACATTGTTTTCTTTTTACTGGGTTTAATATGTGATACATATTAAATATTAAAACAGAGAAAACAAAAACTAAGGAGGTGAGACTTCATAAGCAAAAAGAAGTTTAACACCTTCAAATTAAGGCTTTGTTGGGAAAGAAACTAAAAGACTGTTAAAAAACAAATGGAAAAGTTTAGTCAACTGACTAAACTTGGTTTGCTTGCTGCTAACTTAGTAAGGTAATCAATTATGATCTTTGGGTTTGCAGATTTCATGGGTGTGTAAATATTTAGTGACTAATATTCATATTTTGTGGGTAAACTCTCCAAATGTCAAAAGATAGTACTCAGATGGAATTTTCCTTTCTCTATTAATACAAATGTACAGCGTTCTACTATAACTACTACTTCTGATGATGCCCATTAGTGAACTATAGCACAAATGACAGAGGCGCTACCAATCCTGGAAATCTCAAAATGTCCCAACGTTTCTCAGGGCCTACAGCTACAAGTAGTGCTCTGCTACTGACCAGGTTTGCTTTCTTCTATTTCACTGTTCTCTCACTCTTTCTCTCTGTTCTCTCTGCAGACCCAAGATCCTTATTTCACAGCGTACAAATATGTATTTCTCAAAGAGTTTTCTTTCTTTACATGGAGATTTTTTTATTTTTACCTGACAAGTACCTGGGTTTGGTGGGAATTTTTAAGAAAACACATAAACATGGGTATTATGTTAATGACAGGAATTTTAAGTACTTACAGCTGAATATTTTGTTCTTTCTGAAAGTACTATATTAGTTTACATGAAAATTTTTTCAGTTTTAATACTTCTTCAACCTATATTCATTGTGCTTTACTGACTTGAATTTTTAATTGAAAACCTAACTTGTTTACTTCATCTGATGGAAATATTAACTTAGGAAAGGGAATCATTATACCTGTTCTCTGATGAGCATGGTATTGCAGTATTCACAGATGACATTTGCCAAAGGACAGTTCTGGTCATGGATCTAAATTTTATTAAAAAAAATATGTAAAAAGCATGAGAAAATTTGAAAAAGTAAGAACAGTCTATTTTTATAAAAAGTAATTCTTTCACTATAAACAAACTAAGGACCTCAGTTTGTGCAAAACAAAAATGTAAGAATGATATACAAAGGTTACTTGCCCTCCCTCTGCCAGTGGAGTAATGAGAGATCCATCTTGCCTTCCAGCTCTTTAACAGAGTATGAGTACACATAAGAGAATCTTCTACACCACTTTTGAACCGAGGCACAGCATCTATGACTAGTTTGGACACAATTTACCAATACTAGGAGTCTCCAAAGGCCCCCTTCCAAAAATTTCAAATAGCTGCATGATGTGACTTAGGTAAAACTCTTTTCAAGAAGGGTAAAAGAAGACAAGTATTATTAGGGCAAGAGGCTTTAGTGCCCAGGTTCTCATGTGCTCCAGACGGAGAGCTCTGTGTTCCAGAATACAATAGATCTGTTCAGTCGATATGCCGAGAAATCATTAAGCTTCCAGTTTAAGTCCATTTAGTTTACTGAAGTTTAGAGAGACATCAATTTGCTCTCATTATGCCTCAAACCTTTCTACATTTTTAGCAAGTTAGCAGACTTTTTTTAGTATTTCATCAACCTAATGAATATGCTTGATCTTCTAAGAAAGTAGGAAAAATTACCAAGATGAATTTATAAGAAATAAAGTTTAAAGAAGTATCTTATTAGTTATAAAAAAAGACATAAATTAGAAGTAGGTTATTTCAGTAAAGACATAAGACAGGGATCCAGTTCTAGGATCTCAGTGCTAGCTTTGCCACTGACTACACTAACATAAAATTACTTAACCTCTCCACATCTCAGTTTCTGAATGGAAAACTGTTCTATGGTTACGGTGTGGTCAAGCACCATGAAGTTTCTTTTTAAAGATACACATTTTAATTGAAGTGTAACATGTACAGAAAAGTGAATTCATTACATGTGTACAGCTCGATGAATTATCACCAAAGGAACACACTTTGTGGAATTTATTCTCCCTAAATGTTTTAACAACCCATTCTTTTCAAAGTGAAAAGTGTGAGTCTGATAAAGTAATCATTCTACTTGTTTGTCTCTAATCCAAGACTGGTCATTAAAAAAACGTATCACATGGGAAAGTAGATTAGCAAGTCTTTCCTAGAAGCTTGTGTTACTCACAGATCTACTATAGTGGTTATGTCGTATAAACAATGTTTTCTAAGAAAGATATACAAGTATAAACCCTACACTTACTTAACTGGTTTACTGAACCTTCTTTCTTAAACATCAAGCTTCCCACAAATGATCACAGAGACCCGGATTCGGAGTAACATCTTCATCTCTTACCCTCAAATGTACATTAACATTTTTTTTTAAGAAGTAGGGAAATTAACAAATCCAAGCTGGTACGTGCCTCTTTATCTTCAAATGCCATCAATGCAGCACAGTTTACACAAGAAACCTGTCTCCTTGGACACTCCTTGAGAATGTGAATATTAAGTTGGCATTTTTGGAAGGGACGCTGGCACTGAGGACAATTCATAAGAGCAAATTCACAATGTGCTTGGTGATCCTATAATAAGAAAGAAATAATTGATTAATATTTGCCAATCTTTTGAAATTTCCTAAAATAATCTCTTCCAAAAATGTACTGTTCTCTTTTTTTAAAAAAAAAATTTTTTTTTTCAACGTTTATTTATTTTTGGGACAGAGAGAGACAGAGCATGAACGGGGGAGGGGCAGAGAGAGAGGGAGACACAGAATCAGAAACAGGCTCCAGGCTCTGAGCCATCCGCCCAGAGCCCGACGCGGGGCTCAAACTCACGGACTGCGAGATCGTGACCTGGCTAAAGTCGGACGCTTAACCGACTGCGCCACCCAGGCGCCCCTGTACTGTTCTCTTTTATAGAAATGGCTACCGAGACTGCTTTAACACACACCATATAAAGGCCTTAAAGAATTTAAAAATAACAGTTGTGAATTATTTATACAAAGAATGTGAATTCTCAAGTTCACAATTGAACCTGAACAAAAAGGATCCAATTAGGCAACTTGAACTTGAATAAAACTATCCAATTAGGGAAAGAAGTCAGATTTTCTGATGATCAATTGAATATTGTGTCAAAAGGACCATTCCTTCAAAAGGAACTAATTATGGGGGGGGGGGGAAGTTACAAATATGTTTTAAACACTTAATCTCAAATAGAACATAAACAATATTTAATTTCTTATAAAATAACTAAGCTAAGAACTGACTTATTTAATTTAAAAGCAAATGCTTTTGGGTCACCTTCGAAGCTCAGTGGGTTAAGTGCCCATCTCTTAATCTTGGCTCAGGTTCTGATTTCAGTTTCCTGAGCCCGACACGGGGCCCGAACCCACAAACCGAGAGATCATGATCTGAGCTGAAGTCCAACGTTTAACTCACTGAGCCACCCATGTGCCCCAAGACATATTTTGGATGTTGGTGATTATATGTGCATTTCAAATATAAGTTAATATATTAATATGTGTTGGGGCACCTGGGTGGCTCAGTTGGTTGAGTGTCTGACTTCGGCTCACGTCATGATCGGTTTGTGGGTTCGAGCCCCGCGACGGGCTCTGTGCTGACTGCTCAGTCTGGAGCCTGCTTCGGATTGTCTCCTTCCTCTCTCTACCCTGCCCCTGCTCACAGTCTCTCTCTCCCTCTCTCTCTCTCAAAAATAAACATTTAAAAAAATTAAATAAAAAAATTGTTATGCTCCTCAGTTTTACTGCAGATAATGTTCACCTAAAAAACTTGTAGTAGAATACTGATTTTTCTTTTAATAAGATTATCCTAGATTTTTTTTTTTTAAGTTTATTTATTTTGAGAGAGACAGTGCAAAGTGGAGGAGGAGCAGAGAGAGGGAGAGAGCCTGACTTGGGGCTCAAACCCATGAAACTGCGAGATCGTGACATGAACCGAAACCAAGAGTCAGATGCTTAACCAACTGAGCCACCCAAGCACCCCTGACTTTCTTATTACCACCGGGGCAAAGCCACAGGAAATGGCATAAGAAATTTATGGTTTCGGGGCACCTGGGTGGCTTAGTCAGTTGTGCGCCTGACTCTTGATTTTGGCTCAGGTCATGCTCTCATTGTTGTGGGATCAAGCCCCGCATAGGACTCTGCACTGACAGTGGTAAGCCTGCCTGGGATTCTCTCTCTCCCTCTCTCTCTCTGACCCTCCCCTGCTCATGCGTGCATGATCAGTCTCTCTCTCTCTCAAAATAAATAAACATAAAAAAAAAAAAAAA